ACCCGTTTTATAACCAGCAAGAAAAGCATTGAGACCTGCAAAACCAGCATTAAAACCAGTAAGATCATCACTGAGACCAGCAAAACCAGCATTAAAACCAGCAAGACTAACATTAAAACATACCTTAGTTTTTTCAGCAGGGAAACTTTAGAAAGTACTGTTTATACCCCTCTCTTTACATTAGTTTCACGTCTCGCTTCACTTTAAACTATTAAAAATGTTCATAAAAGTCATTTTTTCGAACTTTTCAAGGTTAAAATTTGTCGGAGGAAAGATCAAGGTCACATAATGTAATCCAAAAGCAGAAATAAATGGGGAAAAATTTAAACATGAATCACAAAGTATGGAAAACAGCTAAATTACATATATTTTACAGTGTAGGTATATAAACAGGCACTTTTTTAAGAGGTGAAAATATAAGTTTTGTAGGACATAACAGCAGTAAAGTTTATTGCACTTGAATAAACCCCATCCTGAAGAATCTGATAGAGATTTAACACTGTACTCTGATGATTCATTTAGACGCATGCAGTGAGAGGGAAATGTGAGAATCGCTCTCATATCAGCACACCTGCTCTGCCAGAGACTCGTCCTCTGTGGAGGTCAAAGACAGTGCTTCCATCTGTGATGATACACGCTCTGTTGCGGTTAGCTAATTTTGCGTGCCGTCCCGGCCTGTGCTTTGCTTTGGTCAGGTGTTAAAATCGCTAAAAATGCAGCGTTTGCCAAGAACACCTGAAGAGGGGTCACGCGCTAGTTCACATCTGTGGTTTGGACAGCAAATGTCTCATAACCGATTGCTTGCTTTCCAGAAACACCTCTCTCCTTTGATTTTTATTATTTTTTTTTTTGTGCTGCTTGTCCTTCCACGTGTTTGCACATGTAAACACACACCTCCCATACTGCACACGCACTAAAACCATATGCTTTCAATGCCTCTTTACTGGTTGAATGATGATACAAGAACATTGCACGGTAAACAACATGTATGTCATTCTTTACTGTATTTAAAACGACCTGTTAAACACTGAGCATTATTATTATTTACTGAGTAAATAACTGTAAAGCTAAATTTAATCCTTATAGCTAGGACTGCCTGGCATGAAAGAAACAAAGAAAACAAAGAAACATGTCAGTAGATGCCACTATTATTAAACAGTGATGCTTGCCAAACATAGTCCTGTTCCTCAATTCGAAGATTAAATAAGTCGTTTTTTCTGCTAAACCCCCCCCCCCCCACAACTAAAACCAGCTCAAGCCAGTTGGCAGGTATTAACTGATTTAAACTGGAAGCAACTTGTTTTACCTGTTCTCTTAGCCTGATCAAGCTAGTTTTAAATGATCTGAGCAGCCAAAGAAGTGGCCAAAACCTCTTTAAAACCAGCCATACAGCTTAGACTGGTTTAAGCTGTTGTTGTTGTTTTTTTTCCAATCAGAATTTATGATAACAACAATTAAATAATCAAAATTGCAGCTAAGTTGTGGAGCAGATAAATTAAAAATAAGTTATTTATCAACCACAGTTGGTGAAACAGAGGCCAAAGTTTTGTAATTTTTCATCAACACTTGCTTGGACAGTTACCTTCAATGCGGGAGACATGTATTTAAATACCATTTGAACTGTTGCAAGCTGAACCAGATGGGTAATATTGGTGCCCTGATCAGGAAATGAAACGTTTAGTGCAGGGAAAACAAATGCATTAACACTCATGTAAAAGTGTTCCTAATACACCGGTTGAGGAGTCGAAATTAAATATTCAGTCTCTTTCTTCTCTCTTCTAATTGCTGTAATTAAGCTCTCTATATTATCCCCAACTACACCATCTGCATCTGAGAAAGAATGTGAAATTGATCTTCTCAAACAAACAGGCTGCAGTTTTATTTAGTACCACCAGAGGTGCTAAAATGACACTTGAACAATGAACAATCAGTCATTCATCTGGCTTCAGTATATTTTTACTGTAATCACTGTATAAATTGCAAATCACCTATCCGGGTCACGGCACCAATATTGCCCTTTTGGTTTAGCTCATCACAATGCCAAAAATAAATAGTTCTTGTATTGGAACACTACAGTAGTTACAATGTGCCCAAGATGACAGGAAACTAGTATTGAGGAGTGCTTTTGTAAAGGGATTAAACTATTTTATACAAATTTAAAAGCACGGATACTGGCACACATGCCTGAGTTTTGTCTTGGTAATATAAATCCCACATTGTTCCACTCTCAATGAAATGCAGACGGAAGTGAATTAGTGGTGCTTAATACTTTATATTAGGTGTCGCTTATACCTATGAACTTACATGGTAACTAGATGTGTAAGTAGTATGTAACTACAGTGTTTGTACACACTGGTACACAGTATTTACTCGTGTAATACTGGTGTAAATAGACACATGTAACAACACACTGAATAATATGTGTAAGTTCAAATGTGTAACAGGACTTTGGTAACAACAACACTCAAAATGTACACATCTGTAACAAGAGTTACATATTGTGTAACAACAATATGTGCAGGTGTTTTCCCACTTCCACACCTGTTTGCATACCATGTACTTCTGTACACTGTATTAGAATAAGTTTGGCAGAATTAACGCTGCATTAGTGTCACTTTGTGATACCAGTGTAATTACAAGGTAAATCCTAAGGAACTGTCCACTCAATATAAAGTGTACACACACACACACATATATATATATATATACACACACACACACACACACACATACATATATATATATATATATATATATATATATATATATATATATATATATATATATATATATATATATATATATATATATATATATATATATATATATATATAAATAACCTAAGCCTTTGTGCAACTGTTTAACAACAGCAAACTTCAGCCAAAAAAGTATAAGTGTATAAAGAAATATACAAGAAAGAAATATACAAATGGCTTATGTTTATGTACTGTAAGGTTAATTGTAGAATCACATCAGTAATTCACATTAAAGGGGCAGTTTACCATAGCTTGTGTTATTAATGTCCTGTTACACATTTAAACTTACACATACAATTAAGTGTTTTTACATGTATGTAGTTGCACCAGTATTACACAAGTAAATACTATGTGCCAGTGTGGACACACGCTGTGGTTACATACTACTAACACATCTAGTTATCGTGTTCACAGGTATAAGCGACACTTAAAATAAAGTGGGACCGAATTAGTTGATGCCCAACAAATATCCACTTTTTGAAAACTTTAGTTGTTTTTGCAGAAAGTATCATGTTTCTTCTCCCCGGACAGAGAATTCACAAAGCATTACTTAAAAGTGAATTTCCCAACAGGTTTAGCTGTTTTGAGAGTGTTTATCCAGCAATCAATACGTGATGACAGGACCCTTATAAGCAAAAGCCCCGTGTTTCATATCTCTTACAGAATCAGTGCTGTACAAACAGCCATCTGCTCCTCTCCCCTATGTTGATGGAGGGGGTTCCCACCTTCACTTAAGCTTCTGCAGGCATGAGAACTAGAGGGACTCAATCCCTGGCTCTCAAATTGTATGCAGTGTAACTTGCTGTTGTTGGAAACGGTCATGCCAGACATCCAAAGGATCAATTTACTCAACAAGGGTCAATATCTTGTTTTAAGTCTTGCCGTTCACTAAAATGATGAGAGGACAACATATCTGATGTTTTGTCTCTACTGTGCATAAGCCAAGCAGGCTTCTATATTACAAAGACAAAACACAGGCATGTGTGCCAGTATCCTTGCTTTTAAAATTGTATGAAATATTTTAATCCCTTCACAAAAGCACTCCTAGATAATATTTTCTTGTCAACTTTAGTAACTGTGCACATGGTAGCTACTAGTGTTACAAAACAAGAACTATTTATTTTTGGCATTGTGGTGAGCCGAACCAGAAGGGGCAATATTGGTGCCGTGACCCTGATAGGCGATTTGCTATTTATACAGCAGTTACTATGAATTTATTAATTGTAATAACAATATACTGGGCTGCATGGTGGCACAGTAGGTAGCACGCTCTCTCCATGTTGGTGCGGGTTTCCTCTGGGTGCTCCGGTTTCCCCCACAAGTCCAAACACATGTGGTAAAGTTAACCTGTATAAGCTTAATTGTCCGTAGTATTTGTGTGAATGAGTGTGTATGAATGTTTCCCAGTGACGGGTTGCAGCAGGAAGGACATCCGCTGCATAAAACATATGCTGGATAAGTTGGCGGTTCATTCCGCTGTGGCTACCCCAGCTTAATAAAAGGACTAAGCCAAAAAGAAAATGAATGAATGAATGAATGAATGAAAAATATACTGCAGCCAGATGAATGACTGAATGTTCATTGACTCCTGATGCCTTTCCAAAATGTCATTGAATGAAATACATCAGCTTCCTACCTGAGGAAGTCATGCTGATCAGGAAGATAAATCATTCAATACTGCATTCTTACCATTGTGTTCTGGACATAGGTCAGGCTTTTCCCAAATCTGTGAGGAAATGTTGATGTGAATTCCTAAAAAAGATGGAAAGATGCTTGGTCCATATTATCGCATTTTAATGCAGATGTTTTTGCTTTACATGAATTTTCAGAATCCATAAACTACCTTAATCATTCATCACTTGCAACTTACATGTAGAAAGTGATTAAATTACATCAAACAGTGAAGAAACAGTATCTTATACTGCACAATCCATTTTAAGTGAACGATAAGACATTTCATCTGTGGCTACATAGTAAGCCTACCAATATTTTACAGCTACTGAGTTGACCTTGAGTTTGGCGGTCTCTCCTTTAAATGTGTTGTTTAAAACATCCTAAGTGAGCAAACAGACATTTAAGGCAAAGAGTGGAGATGTGAGGCTGTGCACAGATAAAAACATAAAAAAATTGTTCACCCATAAATGAAAATGGTGTCATCATTTGCTCTCCTTTCGTTAATTTTCTAAATTTTTTTGAGGTTATTTATTTTGTAAATATTTAAAAAGAATTCTGAGAACCAGAAGCTTTTTTTTTTTTTTTTTGTAAACCATTCTTCACAATACCTTCTTTTGTGTCCAATAGATGAAAGAAACTCCTGAAGATTTTTAACTACTTGAGAGTGGGTACATTTTCATTATAGGGTGAACTATCTAATTACATGTCATTACATTAAAAATATTATATTTTTTATAAATAAAAAGAAGCCCATTTGAATTGTGTTGCATTGTTACACTATTATTAACAACAACAACAGACAGCATGTTCCTATTGCAATGCAAAAAACAGAACACACAAAACAAAACAAGACTCTAGATATTTGAATTGAGTCAATTCTACATCATCATACTATGATGAAACATTAAACAAAATATAATATGTATATAATTTTTTTTTATCACAGTATCAAGCTTTTATGAGGTAAATGTACTTAACTGTAAATAAAATATTGTTGCAATGCAAAATATCCTAAAAACAGGCTTCATTTTATTTAGTCGATGCACATTTTGTTGGACTTTTGGGTGAAATATGTCCAAATATGTGAGTTTCACCCAGTAGTGACCAAGACATTAACAAGCAGTGAGGAAACATAAACAAATGTGACACATCTCATACGTCAGTCCAACAACAATTGTCCAAGTATTCTTTCCTCAAACAGATTTCCGTCGTTTTCCGAAGACGTTGTTGATGAGTTTGGCCATGGATTTTGAGCCGCTGGGTCGACGGCGGCGCTCCTTGGCTTTGCTTCCCAGACTGGCATTGCGCACAATCTTTGAGAACATGAGCAGCACTTCCTGGTAATGTTCGGCAGCGGAGAGCTCGTAAAACTGACAGCGGCCCTCAGATGCCAGCTTCTGGCCCTCTTCCCTGTCCACCTCACGCATGTGGCACAAGTCTTGCTTATTGCCCACCAGGAAAATCACAGAGTCTGAATCCCTGCAGTCAGAACAGAAAAAAAACAGGCTGAAGCTTTGATCCAAAGCTTGCATTTAAGGCAAACGTGATCAGGAAAATTGACCTAAACAATCTACTACAGTATTAATTTAGGATACATTATTTGATGATCACTAAAGTAAATGTTTTGGCATTGCTATCACTGCATGCTACAGTTTTAGCTACAGGAAAGCTATCTTAAGATGCTTTACTATTTTCTAGCTTAAATTCAATGTTAAAATTGCTATCCCTATGTGCTACAGTTTGAGCTACAGGAAGGCTAACTTAAGATGCTTTACTATTTTCTAGCTTAAATTCAATGTTAAAATTGCTATCCCTATGTGCTACAGTTTGAGCTACAGGAAGCTAACTTAAGATGCTTAACTATTTGCTTGTCGCTTAAGTTTTAATGTTAATGTTATCAGCATGTGCTAGAGTTAGAGCTACAGGATGGCTAATTTGAGATGTTTTGTTATTTTCTAGCTTAAATAAAAAATGTTTTATTATTTGTTGGTATAGCTTAAGTTTAAATCTTAGCATTGTTAGCAGAAGATGCTACAGTTTGAGCTTAGGCTACATTAAGATGTTTTATTATTTGCTAGAAGTTTACGTTTGGATGTTAGCATTGCTATCAGCATGTGCTACAGTTTGAGCTACAGGAAATCTAACTTAAGTTGTTTTATTATTTGTTAGTAGCATGTGTTTGAATGGTAGCATGTGCTACAGTTTGAGCTACAGGAAAGCTAACTTAAGATGTTTTATTATTTGTTAGTAGCTTAGGTTTGAATGTTAGCATTGTTAACAGCATGTGCTACAGTTTGAACAACAGGAATGGTAACTTAAGATATTTTAATATTTGCTAGTATAGCTTTAATTTGAATGTTAGTGTTGCTAGCAGCATGTGACGCAGTTCTAGCTGCAGGAATGCAAACTAAAAATGTTTTATTATTTGCTAGTATAGCTTTAGTTTAAATTTTATTGTTGTTAGCAGCATGAGCTACAGTTTAAGCTACAGGAAGCCTACTGTAATTTAGGATGGACATTATTTACTACTTGCTACAAAATAACATTATGAACTTTTAAGCACTAGCTTAAGTGATTTCTACATTTCCCTAAAATTTTTTTAGAATTTATCAAACTAACTTGTTTGAGTTGGGTCTTTTTGCTTTTGACGTTTGTTTTCTATTTAATTTAATTTAATGGTAATGTTTTAGTAATTTAGTTGTAGTTTTAAAAATGAAACTTTTAAGTGATCTAGATAAAATTAAATTATTTTATATGAAATAAATATAACATAACAAATATAACATTAATAAATAAATCATGAATTAATAACAGAAGCGCGTGCAATATTTGACAGATTTCTCCAATAAGCTGAATTGATCTCCAGTTCACCTACAGAATACACATTTCTCAATAGCCAAGGCTAAACTAAAAATAGCTGTTTTTTCCATTGAAATTTGAAGTCCCTGAGTCACCAGCTCATCCGCATCACCCACATACTCAATTCAGCAGTCTTCAATGCGGAGGAAAACCAGTGAATAGTGGACTCCCACATATAACAGCACTCTTATAAATGGTATATACAGAAACAGGCCATGTCCTGCTGCCTGAGGGTGTTGTTGTGAACAGCATGTACCTTTTAGTGGCTCCCAGGTGAAGCTCACGGATCAGGTGAACGATAGCTTTGGCCGTGAGGAAGGAGGAACGATCGCTGATGTCATAAACAACCACAAAGCCATCGGCCCAGTGGATCTGCTCATTAAGAGTCGACTTTCCATCGCATGGCTGCAGAAATAATATAATCACAGAGAAAACAAATTGAATAATATATGGATTAACACGATTCATGTAACTGTCTGTCAATCATTCAATCAATCAATCAATCATGATCACCAGAGATCTAACTCTCATCGATCGCTGGGAAACCTTCCCTTTCCCGTAGACTACAGTTCTGCCACTATAAAGAACTACAAATCCCGTCAAGCACTACACACGCACACCTGTTCCTGTGTTCTGTTGATTACACACACACGACTGGGAGCTGCTCACGAACTGATTAGATAGACTATTTATACAGCACACAAACCCATAGACTTTGCTGAGTCTTGTTTACTGTATTTGTGAGATTACAAAGCGTTTTCTTTTGTTTTGCCTTTTTGAATTAGTCCCTTGCTTTGTTTTAGTGTTTATTCCTGTCTGCTGCATGCCTTCCGACCACTCTCCAGTTATTTGAATACGACTATAGATTCTTTGTTTGTACATAATTTACCGTGTTGACCGTAGCTTGACTGACCATCCTATTAATAAACCTGCATTTGGATCCGCACCTCCGTTGTCAGCATCCCATTCACATTACACAATCAATCAACCAATCAGACAACCAATATATCTGTCAATCAATCAACATAATCAATCTTTCTTCAATTAATAAATATATCCTTCAATCAATTTATCTGTCAATGTATCCATTATTTAATCAATCAATAAAAAAAAACAATCAATCTATTTATCCCTCTGTTTAAAGTGTTATTTTTATATGCCTCAGTGCATTTGGTATGTTTTATGATTGATTAATAATAATAATACGATGCGTAAACAGAACAAATATTAAAAGTCACTGTTTCATAAACAAATCTGTTAACATAATCTTAGCATCCCTTTAAGTAAAATGGATTCCTTTTGTGGAAAAATGTTCTAATAAATAATAAAATGCAAGAGCTTTTTAAAACTTGCATAAATCCGGCATAAATGGGCACTACTACTCTTTATTTTAAGGTGCTTTACTGTCGTTAAAGTAGATTTTTTACTCTATAGATTTAGGCACTTGAAATTTCAGATAAAAAACTGTTTAGTATTCATCACTGTACTATTATATAAACCCATAGTCTGCTTAGTTGGGAAAACTTCATTAAGTTTAAAAATGGTTGTGTAGTTTACTATATTATCCCCTTCTATGTGACTTTTTCCAGTTTAAATCTGTAGAAAACATAGTGACTAGAGCTGATTGTATTATTCCACTTAGAAAAACTTCTTTAGGTTAAGTTTATTTTTTTAAAGCATCACATCAGTGGAATCTGATACCACAATCTGTTAGAGAATGTGAATCTTTTAAGTCATTTAAGTATAATTTTAAGAAATGGCTTCTTATTAATAAACATTGTGAACACTAGGCTTTTTGATAGTGTTGTTGTGGTGGTTATTTATTCGAGTATTGTTTTCAGCTTGAATTTGTATTTTTATTGGCATGGCCTTTTACATCTGGGGACTATCAATGAAAACTAGTCTAATTTGAGTACATTTGTATTCTTAGCTCCAACCACCTCCAACTCATACCTGCTTAATAGTCTCTAGTAGACTTGAACAACTTGATTAGTTAGATCAGCTGTGTTTTATTGGGATTGGAGGAATACTGTACGGCCCACCAGGAATCCAGTTTAAGACCTATGCTCTTGGTAAATGTTGATTACACTGTCCTTTGTTGTGAATAATAAATAAACTTAAACTTATAGATAATCAGGAACCAATCTAAATTAATTTTACCACTAATAATCCACATTTATAAATAAAAATACTTCAGATTGAGCTTTAACTTCTTATAATGAACCACAGAGATTCCTTTAACTGGCTAAACATCCCCGATTACACAAGATGGGATTGAGGGGAAAATCAGGATAATCAACTGGACCCCCAAGAGGCACAGATGGTCCCCAATCACATAATGACCAACAGATTGATTAAATAACTGGATTTTATCCAAGAGGAAAGCATGGTGATCCTCCTTAGACTGTATTTTGCACCATGTTATTAATATAAATAAAGCTTAGGCAGGAGAAAGCATTTTAATATACTAATTTACTGTGTGGTTACATTTCCAAAAAACATAATAGGCTGAATATAGTCTGATCTGTGAATTATATGCCGGCTTATGGAAAGATTATAGAAGGAAAGCTCTGCAATACTCATTAATGCCAGGAAAGACAGATGATACTTGCTTTCTACTGGATATGCACTAATAGTTAGGGTAACTGTTTTTGCTTTTTATGCCAGGGAGTCTGGAAAATGTCTAGCCAACGGTGAAACACACATGCAATACATTTCATTCAGTGCTTGCAGTATACCTGTACAAACAAGCAAAGGGTATGCAATTAAAAAAAAAAAAAAGTGATCTGTTATGCCACTGGAATATAGTTAAGCTTAAGTTAAACCATAAGGTGGTTGTGCTATGCTTATGGCATATAATTACAGTTGCATATGGACATACCTGAGAACAGGGGTCATGCAGTTCTAGATTAAGCTGTCTTGCATCAATGGACATGCGCTTTCTGTAAATGCACTCTGCGGAGGAAAGAACAGATCGCATTAGGCACAAAAGATTCCTGTATGTGATTCATTGGCACTGTTTTTAGCCTATTTGGCACTGCATCTAATAGTGGCATCGCTACAGTACAGCAAGTCGGTCATTCAGATATAGAAACTGGGATTATTTACATTTACAAAACAGAAGGCGTGTATGTTATAGAGTTTTATAGTTACTGATTTTGTTATGTATATTGTATGCATTAGGTGTTTCATACACTTTTACGGTGTTTCGTTTTAGCAAGCAATTTAAATGCAACCCTGAAATGACAGTAAAAAGCAATGAAATAAATGTAAAATGAAATGCGATGCAATGAAAATTTATGGTCATAAATACCTGATGATGATGCATATTCACCAATGAAGCGCCTGGTTAGAAATCTCACAATAAGTGCTGTGGATTCAAGGAAGAACACAATAGAAGACATTTTATTCAGGCTGCGTTACATAAAAATAAATGTATACTCATAATAATAAAACAAATATGTTGTTTTTTTTGGCATTATTGATTATATTGACATTACTAGTCACTTATTTGCATTGAAAATAACATAAGCAGGCCATTTTAGTAGATATGCATATTTTTGGGCACAGTGTAAAATCGTTTTCTAAAAATATCCACATTACAAATATGCTGCCATGACAACATGACATCTACAACACTAAAACGACAGGCTAAACATCAATAGAAAAACAATAAAATATTGTTAAAAAACAAAAGCCAAAGCAAATATTGTTTTTAAACGTATTTCACATTTCTTTTGGAACCATTTTAAATATATATAATGCTATAGAAATTTGAAAGTGAAACAAAAACAAACTAAATATACAGTTTGTAGACTATACATACCTGATTTTCCGACACCCTCGGATCCCAGAACTGCAACTTTAATGTCATTCATTGCGATCTTGAAGCGTTACCCCGAATGATAAAGGAATGAAACTGAAACGCGTCTCTTCAGTTTAGCGCAAGCTCCACATTTTATTTACTGTGTGTTCTGCACGGACTGTCAGTGAATCCTCATCCTCTGCTCTCTCAGAGCCGTGTGTTGATCTCCACAGACTCGCGCTGAGACTCCACTGCTCGGCTATTCACAGCATCCTGACGTCACGCTGACGCAAAGCTCACACAGCTGGAGCCAAAACAACGCAGGACCGGAGAGTGTGAAACCGGTTGATCTTTACTTGTGCCAATCTGCACTAATATTTCATGCTTTGTATTTGATCAAACACTCACCGATATTTAGAACAAAAAGGTTCTTGTTTTGAATCCAGGACACTCTTGCAAAAGAGAACAAATTTAAGAGGTTTTATGGTTCACTGAAAAATATGAATAATTGGATTTACTTATGTTTTTTTTAGGTAAGTGGTTGCAAACAATTTGTCTGGGCTGAATATAAACAAACAAATTAAGTTTCAATTTTATGAAATATATATATATATATATATATATATATATATATATATATATATATATATATATATATATATATTTAACTTTTACCAAAGTGGTCATTCTGAATATTCATACAAAATTAAGATTTGTTATTTCATATTTATATTCAAAGTTTCTATTGAGATATAAGAGTTAAGCTTTGCGCGCATGCTTTTAAAAATATTTTTTGTTATTGTAATTGCCCTCAATACACAATATTTCTAGTGATATAGCCTTTAATTGTACACAAGTTATTAGACAACCCCAGAAGGTGCTTATACTGTAGCAAACAGGAAAGCAACGTATTTTTTCATCACAGTTAAAATGTCTATTTTTAAGGTATGAAATACCAATGCAATCTCACAGCAATTCGTACCTTTTTGATTTAGTGGCTAATTCGAATGAATTTGTTAGATTTAATTCATACTATTTAGTACAATTTGCTCATCAACCATTGACGGTTGGGGTTAGGGGTTAGGTTGGGTTCAACGCCTCCTTTTTAAAATCTTACATTTTTGTACGACTGAGTCAAATTAGAGACTAAACTGACTAAACGTGAAATACTTTCTTATGAGATCTGGCTGGAAGTACATATCTGAAGTAAATTATTTTATTGCTTTTAGAAAGTTATGTTTTTGTTGTCAAATTCATGGTTAAGTCTAAATATGATACAGCTGTGGATACGCAAATCAATATAGCATTATTTTTTTATGACACTGTATAATAATAATTCTTATTTTTACAGTACTGTGACAGTTTGGGTTAGGGGTAGACGTTAAAAATACAATTTATTGGGTAATTTAATAAATAACATAAATAATACTTGGTAGAACTACTGTTTTCACGATAATGTGACAGTTTGGGTTAGGGGTAGATGTTAAAAATGACAATTTATTTAGTAATGTAATAAATAACATTCTAATACTTGATACAACTACTGTTTTCACAATACTGTGACAGTTGGTTTAGGGCTGGGGTAGGGGTAAAACACAATTAAAGGGAAATTTAATAAATAATATAAATCCTTTTCGTTTACTTTCGGCTGCAACCGTATCTGATCAAGCAACAACCCAAATTCATAGGCACAGGAAAAATAGCGGACACTGAAGTGTATGTTGTCAACTCTTTTGTAATTTTTTTGTCATTATTTTTTAGAGGTTTTCACCTTTATTTGGATAGGAAAGTGGAGATTTTACAGACAGGAAATGTGGGGAGCAGAGATAGGGGAAGGATCAGCAAAGGACCTCAAGCCAGGACTCGAACTCGGGTCGCCGTGAGCACCTTGGTGTCGACGCACTAACCACTAGACTATTGGCGCCGACAACTCTTTTGTAATTTTATTTAAATCTCAGTGTTAGAATGAAATATACACACATTTAGGAAAGGTCACAGTTCTACCGTTATATAGATTTTATTTAAAGTAGGCTAAATAATATACAAAATTTAAAAACAAACAAAATTTCCGCCTGCAGTGATGTAAGCAAAACGCTATTGGCTATTTTGGAAAAGAGGAGGTACTGGTATCCCCCACCTTGTCTTCAGCAGAAATGACCTCACATATTAAACAAGGAACTTCAGTAAACCTTTAGAATACCTTTTTTTTTGACTCTCTGTTTGCAGACCTTGATCACATCTAAATGTCTAAATGCATTGAGTCACTGCCGCATGATAATATAAAAAGCTAAATGTTGTTCTGAAGCAAACAGCTTGTCTAATAATAAGGTGGGTTCAGTCTGTGGGTGTTGTTTGGCCCTTCACTGATGGATCTGTTACATAAGCCGATCCTCCACACAATGACTCACACTCATAATAAACAACATTTACCAGCTCAATGGCGTTTCAAGACACATGAGCTCATACAGAAGTTTGCTTATCAACAAGTCTGCATATTAATAGTGTTTGAGATTTGATGTTGGCACAGCAGTCCGAAAGAGAGTCGATCACTTATCAAGAGTCATTATAATCAGAGATAGCAGAGGCTGAATGTGATTAGAGGCGGTCATGATGGAACTGCAGATAAATCTCAAATGCTTCTTGTGTTTGATGGATCAGGAAACGAGATGTTGAACTCATTGTAGTACATGTGGCTGAAATGTGCCCATGAGGTCCCATTCATTATTGAGGAATAAACAGAAAATTGGGGATTTAAATCAAATCAAGCTTGAACCTCAATAAACCCATAAAAATGTAAACAAATATGTAATTACACGTGATGGAAAAATGAACATAATACAAGAAAGCTTAAAAATTGAGCTCAATGTAAATAGTTTGAAATAAAAATGGGTAACAGCTTACATGAAGATCTAATTTATAACATTACTAAATGCTAGATCAGATTATTCATTCATTCATTTTCTTTTCGGCTTAGTCCCTTTATTAATCTGGGATCGCCACAGCAGAATGAACCGCCAACTTATCCAGCATATGTTTTACGCAGCGGATGCCCTTCCAGCTGCAACCCATCTCTGGGAAACATCCATGCATTCTCATTCACACTCGTACACTACAAACAATTTAGCTTACACAATTCACCTGTACTGCATGTCTTTGGACTTGGGAAAACGGAGCACCCGGAGGAAACCCAAGCGAACGCGGGGAGAACATGCTAGATCAGATTATGCAAGTTAAAAAAATATTTTATATTCATTGTTAGAAATATTGGCAACAAAAATAAAGAGATGTATCTATAATATATACATTAACAAATGAAATCAATTGTTTTGTTTATTTTTGTGATCCATAAATCTTTGTTCTTTGTTTGAACAGAACTTCTTTTTGATGCTGTTTTCATAGATGAGCTGTGAAATACAGCAGATATTGAGCTAACTTATTAAAAATTATATTATATTAAACACTTGATTAATATTTCATTAACATTACCTGTATAATCTATTGAGTTGAGCTTAAGAATGCTCACAGATCAAGATAAAGGTAATGCACTAGAACAGGGGTTGTCAAACTTTTCAGCCCGTGACCGCTGAAATGACAACACCAGTGACTCGCGACCCCCTCTATGCTCGAAGGTGGTTATAAGCATACAAATATTGCATACATTGGTGCATATACACTAATAGGAACTGTATAAACAAAATTTGTGACAGCACAAAAAAGTGCAAAAGTATATATTTTTTATAATCATTATTCACTTGTTTATTTAATATTAATCTCACTTAATGAGAATATTGAGCACAATGTTTAAAGCACAAGACTATTCTTGGTTTAATTTTGGAGACTTGGAGCCACTTGAAGATCCTCTTCCTTGCTCAGTCATGGCCTTTTATTTTTTGAGTATTAAAGTTTAACATCGTACCGTAATATCAATCAGCTGCAACTGACTCTATTGCTGTGGGTCTATCCCAGGGGTCGCAATCCAGTGGGGAAAAAAAAAAAATTAAAGGCTGATGACTTTTTATTGGCATGTTTTTTTTTTTTTTTTTTAAATGTAACTATTAAAAATTAAGTACATATTGAGTATATTATAAGCTAAAATAATTAGCCCTAGTGCAGGTTATGGATAAAATATGATAACTTAATAAAAAATATGAGAATTTTGGAAATCACCAAGTGACCCCCCCTCATTGTCTTGTGACCCCCACTTTGAAAACCACTGCTCTAGAAAATTGTGCATATTCATGCAATGATTTTATTATTACCTTAATTCAAAGTCTATAAGTATCTCTTATGTATGGTACATAGTTACGATATTTAAAAAAAATCAAGTTGAGGTCACTGAATAAATTTTCTCTATAGTTTAAAGCATAATTAGCAAATGTAACGTCATTGTGTATATTGCATACATATAATTTTGCACCATGGCATACTTGAAAAATTAGCATACAACTGCAGCATGCTAATTACACCTTGTTTTTTATTTTAACGATTATATATATATATATATATATATATATATATATATATATATATATAACATCATTATTTTTAGGGGATGCTAAACAAACAGTTTGAAAATTAATATCATAGTGGTTTTCAAATTGCTTAAAATGTTGCTGTAAATTACAAAGATGTTAATTTGTGTAAACACTGACAACATGTAAACTCAGTCTAACGACAAACAACAACAACAGGGTATATGCACAAGGACTTTTTTCAGTAACTTAAAAGTAAATTACAAATCAGTAACCCAGCTCAAGCGCTTCCAGTAAACTATCACGGCGTTACAAAATCGGCACGTTTAAAGTCTGTTTTCTTCAAAAACGAATGACTCAATGATTGCTATCTGATATAAAGTGGATCTCAGGTGGTACAAAAAGCACTGCATTAAATTCCTCCCGCTTCATTTCTTTAAAATATGAAAATGAATTTACCACAGAATTGGAGTTTCTGTGATTGCCTGCTGCTCCTGACGGTGCTTGCGTTTAGACGGCTTTTCATCTTGTTTTATGCTTGAACAACTAAATGAATGCTTAAGTCTATTTAACTGTCTATTTAGACTTTAATTACATTAAAACATCATGGCTGTAAAAAAAACATATGAAACTGAAAATAGTCACATTAACCTTTCACCGGAAGTGTATCTGTGGGTGAAAAAACACTAGGTGTGCATATACCCTATAGTACAGGGTAGGCCATTTATATGGATACACCCTAATAAA